CTCCGACCTGTAATTGGATGATAAAAATAGTAAAAGTTAATAGGTTATATCTTAACTCCTTGCTCGTGAGTATTGTTAACCGCGTGCCTTGAAGCGGAACAATGAAATATCAATGTGGAAACGCCGATGTGTCAAACAAGAAATGACTACTTACATAACGAAGGGAAGGCATAGTCTATCTTGCTGAGCGAGGTCGTTCAGCGAAATGCCGGCGATGAAAAAGTCATCTGCTGCCAAGCTCCGCTGACAAAACTCATGTAGTCAGTTTAGGCGGACGACCAAGGACTGGAGCCATTCCTGTATTTCACCGCTGACAGGAATGGCTCCAACCCATGTGTATATTAATTTGTTTTCGTTCCGGCCAAATAATTTATACAGTGAGAGAAAAAGAGAAAGAGTAATTTATCAGGTTCTTCTTATGTTGAAGTCTACAAGTGCTTGCAAATGAAGTCCTCTTTTATTAATACAGGGCTATGTAGTTTCTAAGTTTTAAAGTAATGCCGCAACTGCATGTCACGTTTGGAAAATCACGCAATGTTGCGTGACGCTGCGACCGATGTTTTTAATTTACAGTATGCTCTGCTGAAGAAATATGGCTTGGCCGCAATCGAGGGGGTTTTTTTCGTAGAAAACTGATTTTCTAGGTAATTGTTCTCATGAAGGACAAATCTATTCATCGTACTCTTCATCTGTTTGTGCACAACACCTAAAAGAAGAAAGTCGCGGATTAATTTTTCTTGGTAATTTCTTACAACTCCACTCCTGAAAAAGGAAAAAAACAAAACAAACAAACAAAAAAAACGTCTTACCAGTCAAATCAGTGGCAGTAGCTCTCGCACTGAATCATGTTGAAGTACCTTGACCGTTTGCAGTGATGGCACAACCAATCTTCGAACAGTTTTCGGCTATAATAAGAAAGAGTAAAATGATTTTATGAAACTTGTTCTAAAATTAATGAAGGCTGTTGATCACATGACGCTGTATTGGAACGAGTATATCTCGTTTGCTATTGTATCACACTACTGTTTTAGACAAGGTATTTACACCACTTAAATTTAAGAAAGAATGAGCAGAACGTAAACCACGTTTTCTTTAAAGTACACGAACCATTCTAACCTCATTTGCTAACTGCTTTCCAGGCATCATCTGTAAAAAAACCTCTTCAGTTTTTCAAATTTGAAAATTTTCAGCTAAAACCGCGGCACCCAAAAATATCTCTCATCTTGCCTAAGAAAAATTTAAAAAAATTTTCAAATTTTCACAACTTTGCCTATTCCTGCTCGTAGGTCCAGCCAAGCCCGTATGGTCACCCGCCCCAGCAATAGCTGTAAACAATGGCTTATAAATATAGGCGTTTAGTGTTAACTTGTAACACTCCCTGAAGAAGTTTACGACAGTTAGACGAAACGCGTCAGAGAATAAAGAAGTTTTACATCTACTGTTCGCACAGCGCTGCCCACTATTCTAGTTTTAAATTTTTTTACATATTGTTTAAAAAATTATTCAATAACTTATTAAAAAAAAATTAATAAACGTGTAAGTCGGAGTTATTCCTGTCAGCGGGGAAATACAAGAATGACTCCAGTCTCTGGTCGTCCGCCTGAACTGACTTGATGAGTTTAGTCAGCGGACCTAGTCAGCAGGTGACTTTTTCATCACCGGAATATCGCTGAACGAACTCGTTGAACAAGAAAGGCTGCCTTCCCTTCGCTACGTAAGTAACCATTTCTTGTTTGACACATCGGTGTTTTCACTCGCATTGATATTTCATTGTTCCGCTTCGAGACACGCGGTTAACAATACTCACGAGCAAGAAGTTAAGATAAAACTTATTAACTTTTACTATTTTTATCATCCAATTACAGGTCGGAGCCATTCCTGTATTTAGTCGCTAGTCAAAGTACAGGCATCCGCCATGATTACCTGGTTGTTTCTATTTTTACGTCCACTGACCCCTGGAAGTGCTGACCCGGAACGCCCGTTGGAATGAAACGAAATACATGCAGCCCACCAAAGTACGAAATGGATACTATCTGAGGCTAATTTTCACCTGAATTCATCATCATTCATGGTAATAATATAAAACTGTTTCACTTGAGGATTTCTTTTTTCCTTGTATTCTATGCAGTTGCCCGGATTTCGCCGTAGTTTGGAGAAATGAGTGCTGTCACGCGATAACATTTCCAAGATTCAACTCACCTCAGCAGATAGTAAATGTAAATTATTTTCTTTTTCTACCTATTTTTCATCTTCCTTTCTCTTTTAATACCATATCATTCTATTTAGGATGGTATTTGAGCGCCTAGCAAGGTTTAAAATGACATTTACCACGCTATCCATGGATGTCTTGGCAACAGAGAAGTGTTTCGCCGAAGTAGCAACATAACGGTAAACACTGCAACTTTGAACGCTTCGTACAAGGTCAATATACTTTGGCCGAAAAATGTTTTTCCAGAAACGTAATGTATATCCTTCTAATGTCTGATTCATCACTGTGACT